AAAATAAAATAAAACACGCAAGTCTAAGCCTAATACAGTAAGAAACTAAATGCAGGCAAATCTCATCCTCAGAGATGTTCCAATAAGCTTCTTTTACAGACTGGATTTCCTCCTACTCTGGGTCCAGCAATCACTCACAACCCTGTAGTTACTGTCCTTTGTTCCAGTTTCTTTCAGGCATCTCTTTGGGGTGGAGAGGCTATCTCTTGAGCCAGCTGAAGACAAAATGGAAGGGTTTCCCAGGGGCTTATATAGTCTCTCTCTTGTGGGTGGAAACCCCTCTATCCCCCTGTGTAGAATTACAGCTACAAGATGGAGTTTTGGAGTCACATGGGCAAATCACACTGTAGTGAGGTGGTGGGATACCCATAGCCCCGCTGAGAGCTGAACCTCCTAATACCAACGTGGGCGGAGCCACTGGGTCTGGCGCCCGCCCCTCTGAGGTCATGGCCCCAACCCGGAAGTATAAAAGCCTGCCAGCAGAGCTCAGTGGAGCCCATGCTGGCGGAGAAAGCAGACATCCGTGGCAGAGCTCCCGCTTGGGAGACAGCCGCAAGCCGCGACCGGCCTGCTGACTTACCAGGCCTGTCGAGCCTACATCTCGCCCGATATCCTGAGGAGGACTGGCCAAGCCTGCCCCGTGCCAGCTACCCTGAGGAGGAGCCGAGCCTGCCCTGCGCTATCTACCCAAAGGAGCCGATGCTGGTGGAGAGCACCGACGACACTAGGACAGCCCAGGTACCATACGAGGGGGAGTGTGGAAGTAGCCCGGGGGCAGCCGACCCCAGTCTGGCTGCTGCCCTGCCAGAGCTGATGTCAGTGTGTTGCGGCCAGGATCCCCACTGACAACAGCGAGTTTCCGTTGCTGCTAGGGCCCCGGGCTGGGACGCAGTGGAGTGGGAGGGCCTACGTCCCCCCTGCCACCTACTCCTTGGGTGGCAGACTCCCCCCTTTTCCCCTGGCCTAGAGAGGCTGGGACCTGCTACAAACTGACCCAGCCCCTGCTTAAAGGCCTGGGTTTCTGACTAACTATTTGATTATTGCTCCACCCTGACCTAGGGCCTGGGCTGCTACAGACTTTGCCTCAGCCCTTGCTTAAGGGCCTGGGTTCTGACCTCTTGGCTCAGCCCCTGCTTACAGGCCTGAGCCCTTAACTGTGTGTCTGCTGTCCCAGACTGCCACCGCACCAGAGCGAGGCGGTGGGATACCCCACAGCCCGCTGAGAGCCGAACCTCGGCCAACACGACTACACACATTCATGCATGACTCAGTTCTTTACAGGCCGACACCATTGTCCAAATGCTAGTTTGAATGTTCCCAGGAAAGCCCAGATGTGGATTGGCGTCTATCAAGGTCCATTGTTAGCTAAGTACCCCCAATTACTTGAATAACCCCTTCACACTATGTTGACCAGATTTGCCTTAGGTGCTTCCTACAGCAAACACTTTAAATGCAAGCATAGAGCCAACGCCCATAACTTCAGATATAAAAACGATACATGCATACGAATAGGATGAATACATTCAGTAGAACATAATCTTTGCAAAGATATGTTACATGGCATATCTAGCATAAAACATATTCAATTTATGTCATATTAATATTCATAAGCATATTTCTATAAACCATTATGGGATGCAACATCACAACTAGTACAGCACAGAACAGGAAACTGGGGTCACGGGGTGGTGAATCAATTAACATGGGTTTCAGAAGATTAACAAAGTGGTACAAATCCCAGAAAGCGCCAGGGCTCGAAATATGGGCTGGGATTCTCCAAGCTGCCCAACTCCCAATTGAATTTCAGCCTTGAGGCTCTGGGGATTGCACTGGTTGGACAGACTTGGTCTAAGCATTAGGGCCAAACCCCATTAGACAGTCTTATTTCTGGTAAGAATGGTTGGGGTTTGCCTTAGTGCTGTCCTGAATGAGTTTAGTAGAAATGCCTTCTGGGTAGCTACCCCTAGAATCCCACTCCCTAGTAAAGGTCGCAGAAGCAGTGGATTCTGAGAGATGTGAAAATGCTGCATTATGGGACTGATAGAACCACTTTGGCTGGTCCTTTCCCACGTACACAATAAAGCAGATGAATGACACTGCTGAGCACCGCCCAAAGGTTAATTCTGCTGCAATCAGCCTAATCCTAGTGGTATTTGGAATGAGCCTGCACTCTCTGGAGCCCTTTTGTGTGTGGACTCAAAGTGCTTGGGGTCCTCAGAGCATTTAACCAAGTGATCCCCTCTAGTGCAGGCCGGCATCTGAGTTTAACCCCTCATGGAGCAACACAGGAATTCAGAATCCCAGTGAGAAACCTCCTCTCCCTGCTGGGCTTCCCTGGGACCTTTATTAAGGCATCTTTCCCTCCTAATGGGTGTACTTCATCACTGCTCAGTGCTGCCGCTAGGGTGGCAGCATTGCCTAGTGGTTTGGGGACTGGACTAAGTCTTGGGATATCTGGCTTGTATTCCCAACTCTGCCACTGACCTGCTGCGTGACCTTGGACAAGTCACTTCCCTCTCTACACCTCAGTTTCCCTTCACACCTGTTCTCTTGTCTGCAACCTGCTCAGGGGAGGGATTGTCCCTCAGTGTGTTTTGTGCAGGGCACAGATCTCATTTCAGAGCCGTAAGGGCTGCTGTGATCCAAATAAAAATAAGAACAATTATAAACTATGATACAAATCAGTAATAACAGCCACAGCTTGTAAGTTTCCCTTCTCCAGCCTGAAAGCAGCACTCTCACATAGACGGGCCTGCAGCTCTTGTGACCTCACTGATCATTTAACAGCTTCTATTTCATAAAAAGTTCCCTTATTTCACCAGTGGAAGCTGGGTTTGACAAGGATTCAGCTTCTCACATAAAAGTTGCCCAAGTCAGGTATCTTTAATGACTTTTGTTGTTGTTCATTCTTGTTGCCTTTCTTGCCACTCCGCCAGAACTGCATGATGCAGGTACACTTGGGACAGGCAACTTGTAGTGAAATTAACCTGTAATTAAAATCCAAAGTTATTGCCCATTAAACTTGACAGCAATTCCCTACCTTGTACTCCTGGACAGCTTCTTCTATGGGAACCACCTTGTGAGCTCTGTGAGTCGGGGATAGATGGCAAACCACACAGATGGGGGTTTGGTCCTTTTCACAGAACAGTTTCAGAGTCTCCTGGTGTTCCCCACACACTCTCTCTCCTCCTGCTCCCTTTGCTGCCTGTAAACTCAGCCGTTTGGCGATTTCTACCATGTTTGCCAGCTGCCTGTTGGGCCTGAGGTTTCTCTGTTGCACAGTTTCTCTGCATTGAAGGCAGGAGGCGGCTGTATCGGATCCCTCCCAGTAGTGCCTGATGCAGGCTCGGCAGAAATTGTGCCCACAGTCTATTATCACTGGGTCCTTAAAATACTCCAGACAGATGGGACAAGTAGCTTGTTCCTGCAGACTTTCCATGGGATTCTCTGCGGCCATGGCTGCCTCTGGACAGTGTAACAGGGTTAGTTTCACTTTTCTGAGCTCAGAAATATGCCCCACCTGCAACACAATTGGGTGTCACCATGTTCCCCTTCCTGGAACTGACTCAGGCTGTTTGCTGAGCTGGGATGAGTTCACTGATAACAAAGTGGTGACTGGTGCCAGCAGGGCAAAGGGGGGCTGGGGGAAGATTGGAGGCACCCTGGGGAGGCACCTGGGGGCACCAGCTTTAACAGTTAAAATCTGGGGTGGAATGTGATCACACATGCCACCCCGCATATGCCTCTACAGCTCTTTTGATCCTGTGGAGAGTCACTGAGACTTCACGGAACATCAGCAGCCCCCTGTCACAATGTGTTTGCAGGAGCAGGGTCTGTGTGTGTCTAAGGAAGGATAGTCAGGCTAGTATGTGTGTATCTATAATTTTGCTGTATAATATTGGTGTTTGTTTTTAAGCATTTTTTCTTTATTGAGTGAAATTTTCACAGTTGCAGAATATGATGGGTTTGGAGCTTTGTTTTTAGATTTTTCTCAATTTAAATTTTCACACTTGTGGGAAATTAGTGGGGGATAAAACAATAGCGGGTCAGACTACAATTATTTAATGACAGCAGACACTGAGATTCAAAAAGTTAAAGCTGTATACCCATTAAAACACAAATTGTCAACATCACACGTCAAAAGATGCAAAGTAACTCTCCTTAAATCAAACTCGAATAAGTTCTCATGCAGCACGGTTCCTTTTGTGCCTGTCTGTACATTCTGATTATCGTCAATGGAAATATATTGTCATTGGTTTGTGTGTGTAAGGTGAAATCAACATTTATCACTGTTTACTGATAAACTCTAATCCTTCTAAACCTAGTGATATTAAATCCACAGGCTAAAAACTTTGTTAATCTGGAGTCCATGTTTCAAAGGCCTGATTCTCATTTACTTTAAGGCTGCTCTTGCTCAATGTAAACAGGCATTAATGCAAAGTGTCACCACCTCTCATGATTTTATCATGAGTCTCATTATATTTGCTGCATTTGCTAAAGCCCTGTTACAGGGTTTATTCCTTCACCCTCTCACTTCCCTGGTCCTTCTCGCATGAACAGAGAGCAACAATACCCAAAGTCTGAAGGTGCAAACAATTTGATGTTTATTGGGGTGAACTTCCAGCAAGCTTAAATCCAAGTTCCTTTTTCTTTATTTTCGAATCCCAATTTACTTCCTGTTTGCCCCTAATTTATATAGTAATATTCTCAACTATACCTTAACCAATCATTCTACTGAAATCTGTCTGACCAATCCTAACATATTGTAACAGAATTCTCTAACCAATTATATCCAACTACCCTAATTAACTTACATCTAACAAAATTAATTATTCAGCAGACAGAAAAAAGTAGAGAAACAGACAGATTAACAATAGAAAAGTGGGGGCCATAAAGATAAAACATACAGAAGTGAGAGTTTCACAACCACAGCTACTGAGAAGTGATTTCTTGCCAGACAGGGTGCTATCAAACTAAGCTTTCTTTATCTGGTGGTGATAGGCATTATCAGGACAGGATTGTATTCCTAACAGCCCAATACCATCTTATTTCAATGTGACTGGTTTGGAATGTGAGGATGTGACCGTTCGCTTCCCAGTTTATGGCTGCCTCTGCTGCTTGGCCAAAGGCCTTAGCCTAAGAACAGGGCCTCAGACTGTCACAGTAAGGGAAGGCCTTACACAGGCAGACTGTGGTTTTGAGTCTCTCTTTTATACCTCTATAACTAGCTAAATGATAAACATATACCTAAATCCTTGAAGTGTAGGCCTTTACAGACAAGCCAGTAAAGCCCCAGCTCCTGGAAGTGTGTGATGAGGTGAGACTCTCGGCTCTCATTTTCTATGCAATGGAAGATTCTAGCCCTCTCGATTGCAGAGAAAATCTAGAAGAAGTGACCCAAGTGCCGCCTACAGGTCAGAGCAACCGAAACCCAAATAGAAACAATCTAATATTTATTATTATTACATTTAATAGAATCATAGACGATTAGGAAGAGACCTCAGGAGCTCATCCAGTCCAATCCCCTGCTCAAAGCAGGACCAACACCAATGAAGTTGGTGCTTTGTAAATGCCTGTGGTTGGCAATACTGTGCCACACAGGTGCTGACTTCTAGTTTTCCCTGGAGGTGCTCCACTCCCTTGCCCCCCCAGGGCACATCACTCAGGGCAGGCCAGGGGGTGGGAGCTTAGGGAGAAGAGGAGGAGCAGGGTGGGGCCACTGAGAGGGATGAGGATTCACTGCCGGTCAGGGGCTAAGGCCAACTTCAACTCCCCCACCAGGAAGAATCTGGCACTGTCGGCAGGGGCTACACTTCACATCCAGGGAGCTGATCACCTTATCGGCTTCCCCACCATGAAGTGCAGCCCCTGTCAGCGCCATTCCACATCTGCCCAAGGCTTTCACGTTTGGGGGGGTTAACGTGGCCCCTTGCCGCTCAAACAATGCCCATGTTAAAAAGGGGGGGCATGGCCCCTTGGCCCTAACTGGTTCCGGGGCTCCGGTAGACATTGCATAGCTTACATCCACTATTACTGGCTCTCAGGAGCCATTCCATGATGCCCCACACTAACAGTATAATCAATACAAGCGCTCCTGGTGAGGACACGCACCGCCAACACAAGAAGCAAAGTGGAGACATGCACAAGTAATGCAGTTACTGTGGCAGCTGTATGCCAACGTAAGTTAGGCTGACTGAATTTTTTAGTGAAGACATGCCCTGAGTGATATTCTACCTGGTTCTTATTGAAACAGATCTTTAACCGCCCACAACTGGGGAGAATGTTTACCAGTACCAGTGAAAAGTCGGATCCAGTATAGTGAATGTACAGCAGTTTATTTGAGAATACAGTATAAGGTTATCTAATGCACATCTCCCTAGTGAGCCTCAATTCTCCAAGCAAAAACCCTCAGTAACTATGCTGGCCTTACACCGTATCCTGATTGGCAAACAAAGTGGGTATAGGTATCACTTCTAGATGAAGGCTTCTTCTCTTCTCTTCTCTTCTCTTCTCTTCTCTTCTCTTCTCTTCTCTTCTCTTCTCTT